CTTTCACCTTGTCTTTACTCCCTTTTTACCTATGATTGTACAAGTGTATCCAAGTGCAGTGACGCATTTTAATTTGATCTCAAAACTAAATTCTTAATTATCTACTTATTGTATTGTTTTATTTTATTATTTTACTCTGTATATTGCTCCAAAAGGAAAATGATTTCCGATTTTTATAATTGGCTAAATAGACTCTTATCTTATCTTATCTTATCTTATCTTATCTTATCTTATCTTATCTTAAAAAGCTGGCTAATTTTAGCGAGATGTTTTTCGCGAATGCATTGCCTCCTCCAAAAGAATACCACTAGTAACCAAGTTTCACCAGTGTTCGGCGGAACGGCAACGACAGATAAGTAAAGTAACTAGTCACATATATGACGTACTGAAAGAAGCTACATCAATCTGTTTATTGACGGGGATAACCATTTTGTAAATTCTGGTGCCGACCCTACTTTCCTGGAGATGAGACAGGTTTCTATTCAGGCTCAACACAGCAACCACCATGCAAAATTATATCATCTTTAGAATAGTAATTTGAATCTTTGAAATAAGTAAACGCATTCACTGCATGATCCAGGATTTTGGTAAGATGTAAAAGGGGGTGGAAACATGAATAAAAATGTCTCACTTACATTTGCTAAAATACATAAATCAGGAGAGAGGGATGGTTTTATTGTAATATATATATATATTTTTTTTTTTGGGGGGGGGGTGTCCATATACATCCTGTGTGAAAACTTGTTCCATTTACCTGCATGGTTCCCTTGCCAACCACGAAGTAAACAAAATATCAGAAAAGGTTTTACAATGCTCGACAGTCCTTTCATTGTCTCGTTGTCCTTGCCCTGAAATAAATGTCAAGTTAAAGTATCTTGATGCGAAAAACAAAGATCTTTGCTTGAATAATATCACCATAGAGGGTGACTCATTATCAAATGTAGTTTAATTCTGATAATCAAAGCAACACGAATTTTTAAGCACGTTACAAAAAAGTTCAACCATTTTCTATGTATAACTTTATGTGATATTAGAATAACAAATATAAAATACAAATAAATAAATAAATAGATACATTAATGAACAAATGGTATATACACAACAATGGACAATGAAAGCGGCCTGTAGAGTGCTAACAGACAAACTTAAAAACGACAGACAGACTGACCGACTTACTGTCGAAAACGAGTTTTCGAAGCTAGCAAAGTAAAAAAAATAAGATTGAATAAATACCTTGATATTAAAAAAACACCAGGACATTTCCTCTTAGATCTTTGATAGAAAAAAAAACCCAACTTTTTAATTGAACCAAGAAAGAGGCAAATAATCCCAGGCGCTACAGCATGTAACAGCATTACTGTACTACTACACAACTGCGAGATGTAACTTATTAACATTTCTCGATCAGTACGTTCTGATAAAGTAGCACGCCTGCTTTGTTATCTTATTTTTATCTAGCTACTCGTACATGTACCCTCCTAATATGTGTTCCGAAGGAGTGTTCGTCCTTTTTGAAGGACGAACACCCAAACCTTTGTGGTCATTTGTTTCCAAACCCACCACTGCCAAATTAAAGGCATTTGAGTGACTTACGTGTACTATTATGGTTTATGCAATTGGAACTTTGAAAGCTTGTCTTTGACATATTAGTATCACCTAAATTCCACCCCTCCCCCTACTCCATGAACATGGCCTCGTGAAAGAGAGTAAAAAAATCTGTATCATAAGTACACTTTAGGGCCTATTAAATTGAACCAACCCAGGCCGTATACTGCTCCATTTGAAAAATGGCCCAAAACAAAACGCTAACTGTAAAAAAAATTTGATTTATAAAACTTTGTTGTACTGATTTCTCTCTCCACCCACCCCCTCCCTTTAAGTCGCGTAATTAAAATGTCTTACAAGAGAAGACCAATCGTTCTGTCGCCCTTCTGCCTCAGGTATGTACGTGGTGTAATGCAAGAAAGTGACAAATCGCGATCACTTCTAATTACATACACAGTACACTGTAGGCCTTATTACGTTGGTAATATTTGAGAGAGATGCGTACACGGTTCAGGCTAAGTACTGTGAATTAAAGTATCCTGTAGAACATGTCACTTACTGTACAAAGCATTTACACTTACCTGCCTAGTCGCTTTTACACTATCAAAGACAATTTTCAATCGTGATCAATCTACATTAATTCTTTAGGAACATCTTGCCTTTTCTGATGCTTACGTGTACTAATTATAGTACGTGTAACGGATTTAATACTAACCGTAGCCAGTTGAATGACCTTAAAAAGATAAGACTTGTCAAAGTGTGGCGAGGCCTAGGTGCGTATCTGCGAAGTTTTGTGAACAAGGAAGTGACCCATTTTATATTTTACACGACGCACGGTGTAGCTCCGTGTTTTAAAACAAAAAAGCTGCTAAAGGGGAAATATAAACATAATGACAATGGTACCAACCTCTGTTGCCACTGCCTTGTAATATTTTACTACTACTGGTACATTTGAAGACACTGCACTGTTGTTTGTTCAGATTGTAGAAGTTGATAATATAAAGTTTAAAGTTTAATGTAAAAGCTTAATTTTCGACAGTTTTATTTATATCATAATAAAAAAAATAAATAATATCTAGACTCTTCATGCTTTTCGTTACGTTAGCCGTTATACTCTTTTGTCTTAATTTGTACCTTAAATGGATTAAAGATTGTATTAGCATGATGCCATCTAAGACACCAATAAACAACATAGGTATAGACGTTTAACTTATGTACATAGTGCACGTGAATCTAGGTCACGTTGAAATAAAAAAAGCAAAAGGTGATCTACTTCCTGATCAACACAGGAACTTACTAACTTAACCTCGTCGCCATTACATCGTCCACAAGACTCTGGCTACTGTAATGCGAGTGCCAGTTTCAGAGTAAGGTAAGTTTACACACGCATATGCTACCACGAAACCGACTTGTAAAACGCCAGTGAATTGCACGTAAATATACTGTTTAATAATGATATGTTCATCAAAATTAAGATGATATTAGTCTGCTTTGCTGGGCGGACGTTGTATTATGCAGGAGGAAGGGGGGGCATTTTGTTTTTGCACAACTTTAACCAAATCATGTCTCATGAAGTCTCATAAATTCAATATAATTTCAATGGGAATATGTTTTTTATATTTTCAAGAGCTCGGTCAGGGAGGGCCCCACCAGACCTCCCCGAAATGTGCCCATTTTGCACAGGTTACTTCAAATGGTGTTTCGGTCAAGTGCGACATCTGGGATAATATATCGTACATTATATATTGCTTTGCCTCCGTTACCCTTTTATTTTTCCCAGAAAGTTAAAACACGACCAGCCCATGCTCCTTTTTCAAAAGGGGAGCAAGAACACGCCACAAACCGTAGCTCCTCGATGCAAGTGCCATGCACTTAAAACTAGAATATGTCCTAGATTGTACCACGTTTAACAATTTATTTCTTTGCAGCGAATGTTACAATAAATTTCATCAAAGGTTTGGGAAAGATAAATGCATGGTGAATTAAAAGTAAACTAAGATAAGATTTTTACCAATTAAAGTATTAAATCTATAAGAATTGGACATCGTTTCCTTTGAGAGTTGAACAAACTAAAGATAATATGTCAGTTAGCCTTAGGCTGCATTCAGAACAGCAGACTAACTAGTCCGAGGGTCAAATATGGCCGACCCACTTGAATACTTCCCTTCGTGGAATTTATTAAGTGTCTATTAGCAGATTAGACGTCAGGCTTGTTAGGGCGTCGCCATATTTGACTCGGACTAATCCACTGTTCTGAATGCGACCTTAGAAATGAGATTTATATTTGAAACTGAACAGGCTCAAAAACGATTAAAAACTAATTTATCACCAACATTGGGTGCCATCCACTCTCAGCAGGTTGACTGTTATTGTTCGCCATGGCCCTCCATCTTGTGCCATTCGTATACTTTCACTATGTTTTTTATTGCTCCATTCTTTTACTAGCATCCATGTTGTTATTGGTCTTCCTTTCCCACGCTTCCCATTTAACTTTCCTTCCAACGGTAACCGCTACAAATGATCTTTTCTTATGATGTTACTGAATACGTTTTTTTGGTAGAGTTCAGTAATGATCTTTTTTATTTTTAGATTATTTAGAACATTCTCATTAGTTTAGTGTTCTACTCCCTTCACAAGTCAGAAGTCAATTATAGCTTGGAATAAAAATGAATAAACGGCATGTGGACATAAAGCTTTACGACTTTTCGTCTGATAACACAGGTGTACATTTATGTCACACCCATGTAGACTAATCTCATTGTAGGACAAGAGTGGCCACAATGAAGGGATTGTCACAACTGTATGTATTTTTCTGTATATACAGTTTGATCATTAACCAACGTGGAACTGAGGCAGGTAAGTTGTTTCTGCCATCCACTCTCTGGTCACATTTATAGTAGTTAACACGAAAAAGGATAAATATCAGGCCCGTAGCCAGCAAATTCAAAAGGGGGGTTCTTTTTCTGAAAAAGTGGACCTTTTACAATGAAACTTTTGTGTACCTAGATAAATTTTTACCCAAAACAGACCTTTTCCTGACAAAAGGGGCGGTTCTTTCGAACCCCCCAAACCCCCCTGGCTTCGGGCCTGATATGTATATTTCCATAAAATGCTTTCACTGCAAATAAAAGCATGTGCAAAATTATGAATACCATTATAGGGAACCATTGTAGGGAACCAAATACCTTTGTGTGTACTCTTGTAAAGTTGGTTACATAATTTTCTTTTAGAAACACGAGACAACTGTTAATAAATAAGGCACCTGTTTATGCAAAGAATAAGTGTTTTAACCACTTGGGTATTTCGTACAATAGAATGTGACGTGCCAGAGGTTCCTCATTCAAGTCGAACTCCAACTAGTTCCCGGGTCAACAGTCAAGAAACCGTTACCTACACGTGTGCAACCCCTTCATATATCCATGTATATGGTTCTCTTACAATCACGTGTACTGACAGAGAGGACGTATTTGATAAGGAACCGCCAGTATGTGGAAGTGAGTATTTCTGTCTCTGTGGATTACTTTCTTCGCTACCTATTTTGCTGCAGATTACAATCGAATGAAAAATTGAATCTTTCCTTATCCATTTTCCTGAACTTATTGCGACCATGGAATTACATTGTAGGCCTACTTCCACGATGCGATGTTTTATCTACATCATCAAGCCGAAACATTTGTATTTCATTAAATGAGAATATATTCGTTCCTTACACAAAAGTTAAAGCAATATTGTACAACTAATATTTTCCGGGTTTCGTTAGTATAGTGGAAAATTATTGTATTCACAGTTTGTGATGTAAAAGAAGGTATGTGGAGATGTTTCTAGCCTGCCTGCGGAAGGGCGGGATCATTTTCCCCAAAAATATTACATTAAATAATATTTAATTAGATTATGCCCTGTTTTCAGAGTGATTTTTGTCCCAGGAACTATTTGGGTTTCGTCTCTGTTTTCCCTCTGGGCTTGATGAAAACCGTTATGGTATATAAACATAAAGTTTAAGTAGTTACGGTAAAAATGCTAATGCAGTTTATTTGATTAATAAAGAATCGGCGTCTAGCAACATCAGCGGGCTGTCGACAAAACGTAATTTTGCGTTCGATTTAATTTTGAAGAAAATATAGTGCGTACCGATGTATTCAGCCTTATACCTCTTTTACTCCTGTTGAATAGAAACGTTTTTTCTAAAATTATCTTGACTTGATATGACATATTCCACTGCTACTTACTTGTATTTACTACTGAGAATATAATCGCCCTTCGCACTACTTTGAGGATTTATCATAATCGCCGTGTTGATCTTGTATAAGAAATAGATATATTTCTTTGAAACGCATATAAAAAGACCTACAAGATGTATAAAAGTGCCCAAGCTTTCGGTTTGTGTGCCTTCTTCAAAGAATACCGGGTATAAACAATGTATAAACAAATAAACTACAAGACTACATAACGGAATATCTGTACATCTGACCTCATTTTGTCATTTTGTATTAAGCATATATGATATTTTGGGAGTCGCAAGTGTAACTTCCGTTCGGGTTCAGTGCCTTGCCCCCTGGGGTGATGATAGGGGTGTACATTTGTGTCCATCTGCAATATCCATAAAGCCTACGTCAGCTATCCTAGTAGATAAGTGTTTGCTTATTCTTACTTTGGTCCCTGAAGAAGGAAAGCCGAAATTTCGGACACTTTTTTCCGTCATAGTTCATCATTACACTAGTAGATGTGTTTCAGTGTAATTTATATATACAACTTTACGTTCGCCGGTGTATTCAGAGATTCATTAACGTGAACATCGGTTTGGTAGGAAAACATGTAAACATCGATCCGCTTGAAATTGACTTGAAAGTGGAAAATATTGTAGATCCAGATGATTTAACATACCAAATGCCCCTTTTCATTTTCCTACTTAAAATGGCATATTACCATTTTATATCATTCAAATACTATGTCAGCCCCTCCCAGTTTCGACATATACCCAATGGAGTTATGGAATCGAGACTCTTGCGCTCGGTGCGCGATGCTTTCGAGTTACGGGGCCCTGGACTCCGTATCTCGAAAGGTTCGCTATGTTGCGCACGTGCATTAGTGTCTCGATTCCATAACCGATTCTATTACGAGATATACGGGGCCATGAAATCGAGACGCACTTGCACGTGCGCAAGTGACGTAGGCCTTCATCAGACTGGCGTGAGCAGATGTTGACACTCACTGGCCACTAGGTGGTATAGCGGCCAGGACCATCTTATAACAGCTAGATCGACCCCTCGTCCCTATTCATGGGTGGCTGGTGACGGCTGATGTTGATAGCCCCTCATATCTTCCGCGGGATGTCGGATTTCAGTTGAATTCCAGTCGATACTGTGACCGGTGTCTAATACATGGACAGCAGTGACCAACTGTGATCCAACAGATACAGTTTGAAAAAAAAGCTAGTTATTCTCCCTTATTATAAAGGAATTTCAGAGAAAGTGTGCAGGATCTACAGACTAGACGTTTAATATGGAATATTTTATGCCTAAGTAAAAATGAGTTCTTTTTTTTTTAATCCTTTTTCATATAAGATATGTGAATAGAGAAGTCAGGTGTGAAGTCAGGTGTGTCGCTACCAATTAACTGACTACCATGTCTATTGCTCTGCTGCATTGTGTAATATGCAGAGATTTAATTGGGTAGTGCTCCTTTGAGCTGGTCAAAACTTGACTTTGGGGGGGGGGGTATGGTTGTGTCAAAAAAGTATCCATATGTCGGCAACTACTGCACAGAAGAATTTGAAATTTTGCATTGCAGTGTGTGAAATGAGCAAGCAGTGTTTTACAAAATTGTTATTCCGTGGCAGAATGGCGCGAAGAAGACAGACATTGCCAGACAGATTTTTGCGCCAAACGGACCGGTCCGCACAGTTTTAAAGATTCATGCCCACACTGATGTACCTACACAGAGGCCACGCCCAATGTATCCAAATCTCACCACCAGGATACAGGACTCACTGTCTTTCGGGATATGCTGCTGCAACTAAACAAAAACTAACCAGTCAGAATGAGGGGCAAATTGATGAAACTGATGAAAAATAATTTGGACAAAAATCCAGTGAGTGTCAACAGAGCTTTCAGACCCCAGTGCACATTAAAACAACACTTAGTGGCACCAAAGGACAAGACCCCTCAAGAACAGCGTTGTGGGACTATATATGTGTAGGATCAACTGCCATGACTTCAATTGCTTTTACATTGGTAAGAAAGGTAGGCAGTTGAACACCAGGGTAAGCGAACACAGAACATCAGTGACTGTTGGCAATACCAGCTCTGCCGTTTCTGAACATGTAATAGACACCGGCCACAGTATCAACTGGAATTCAACCAAGAATTTGACTTTGAAAATAAATCCATTTCAGATACTTCCTTTTCCAATATAGAGGTGTGACCTAAACGGCTTACATAATGTACACCTCGTTATAACTGTAGAAAACGTGACAACTGACTGTTCATCAGACATATATATATATATATTAATTCTGAAAATCTTCTGTTTTAGTGCCAGAGTACGTGTTGTACGTATATGAAAATATAAGCCACAGCGGAGGCGCACTAAAGGGTTATAGGCCACTATCCCGCTGTTTACAGGCCTGTAACTATGACCCAACATGTGAGGCAGTTGACTGGGATGGGAGGTGGTGCTGGTTCCATTACAGTTCTACTTCGTGCAGTCGATTAAGATTTGGAAGCAATGTTCGTCACCATCAAATGAAACAATGTCCTGGTAAGATGCAAATCAAAATGATTTTTAATCACTATTTTTATTTAGATATTTATTTTTTTTTTTAATTTCTCAATAAGGATATTATCTCATGGAGGTGAATAAAGACCCAAAGTAAAGTAAGATAAAGTACTGAGGAAGTTAAAACGATGTTGGTGTGTCAAAGAATACGGTCAAAACCTATCAAACATACCCAATACCATTCAGAAGTTACGTTAACACAAATAAACGTTAACTATCCAGCAACTTTCTGAATTACCAAAAATAGTAACCAAAAGTACTGTATGTTTCCTACAGGTAATCCCGCCTACAACTGCTCCTGCTCTACAGGAGGAACGTGTGTAAGAACATATACCTCACCGACACAGATATCTTCAGAGGAGTGTGTGTGTAACCTGGGACGTACTGGTGACCAGTGTCTTGGTTGTAAGTAGAACGTTGATTTTCATTGTTATTTAGATACGTCCACAGTGGCGGATTTAGAAGGGAGGTTAGGGGGGTCCTGAAATTATAATTTTGACTAGATGAATCATAGTTCTAAACCGTACCAAATGGCACCGTTCGCCCTCTAAAATACCAATTATTTTCGGGGCCCTTAAGCGGCCCCCGAACCCCATGCCAAGGGGGGAGGAGGGTCGGTTTCGCATCCCATCCCCGGACCCCCCCTTCAAATAACTCTGGAGCCGCCCCTACGTCCATGTATTTTAATGCATCCTCTACATAAATAGGTGTCTTCACAATGTAATGCTTCGGATAGAAAAACATGATGCAAACTATTCAAATAAAATCGTTACGACTGTTTCAGAATTAAACAGCATACACATGGAGCACTACCCTCAAAGATATCGCTTTTGCATTTATCATAAACCTCTTCTAATACGAATGAAATGAATAAATAAAAGATAGAAGTGTAAGTGGAAACCATCAATAAATAAGGTTCTTTGTGCAATTAAGTTGTCATCTTTTCATCATTATTGCGACTGATGGATTCCATAACAGACATACACTTTGTTTTTAGTTGTGGAATGCACTGTCCTGACTATTCCTAACGCAGCCCCCTCTCCGGTACCTGGAGGTTACAGATTTGGCAGCACTGTTACCTATACCTGTAACAGTGGGTATCAACTCAGCGATGGTTCTGGTAACAGTTTCACACTGAATTGCGGTCCTAGAGGAACGTTTGAAGGGGAGAGGAAAACGTGCACCAGTAAGTCTGATATCAAAAAGACATCAAAATAGAAAACGAAGAAAAGGTTAAGAATTATAAATTTAATCCTCAGTTTGCTACATGTTCACCTAACGATTATACCCTCGTAATATTTATGTGTACAATTCCTGCTGTTGTCATTGGTCTTTTAATAAACTTGAAAAGATAAATATATTGAAAAGATTTGCTTAACTTCCAGGAACTTGTGACCTTCCTGTAGGTGATCACCTGAGACAGGTAACACAGCGTTCCGTTACCTTTGAAGGACAAACTATCACATATACATGCGCGACTGGCTTCCAATTCAACGACACGTCAACGGTAAAGAACCTAACTTGTCAAGCCGATGGAACATTTGATCAGAGTTTACCTAGCTGTGCTCCTATATCGTGTGTTTTTCCTACTGATAAATTCAATTTGGATTTGGCAGAAGGACCATATGTCTACAAGCAGAATGTGACGTTGTCTTGCATTCCTGGATATCATTTCTCTGGTTATGACGTCGACGCGTCGTTTAAGTCACAATGCATTGCGATAAATACTCTGGAACCGCCAATACCAGACTGCATAAAAAGAACATGTACTTTACCTCATTTAAACAATACAGTGACAACTTCTGATAGCACGACTCTATTCTTCATGACTTCAGTTGAATTCAAATGTATGAAAGGTTTTCAATTCCCGGATGGTAATACCAGTGTAACTTTGACGTGCGATGAAACTGGTGGATTTGGTGTGGACTCTCTTAGTTGTACAGGTACAAATTTCAAGGCATATGAATAATGGGTATCCTTTCGAATCCCCATGCAAATTGACTTGGTCATCGACGCAGACAGGTGTCTGCAATTCCAGGCAGCCAGGCAGGCAGCAGTAATGTCCACTGTAATATTTTGATACTCAGGCACTCTATATGGCCCTATACAATTCTGTTATCTTTGGTTTAAATACTGGTTCTACATTAATTGTTACATTATATACAGAGTTTATATTCACACTTCAGAAAAACTGAAAATTCCTTGCTTATTTTTATGCAAAATCAAAGATTGATTTTTAAATATAAAGATTCGCCGTCTAGTAGAGCATAAAAATGTTTAAAACCATCTCACTTGTTTCCCTTTTACCATCCAGCGGTGTTGCCTGAGGCTGGTACCCAAACAGCATCCACAGGCCCTAACATTGGTGTTAGTGTTGGTGTGGGAGTTACTGGAGCGATAGTGCTGATATTACTCGTTGTTATAGTTGTTGTATTCGTCAAACGCAGACGGTAAGTAAAAAGAGACTATGAAAAACTGGTTTTATACATTCCAAACAAACGTAACGATAAAGGAAGGGTACACGTAAAGTGAAAAGAGACACCTTTTAGGCTATGATTGTATAAATGCATCAGACCCTGTAAAGTTTGTCAAATTTTAAGTGTTATTTATCAGAGTACCGTAGGATATAAAATATATGGACATGAAATATTTAATCCTTTAATCGACGTGTTTTCTTTAATGTATTGGTGCATCTGGACGATGTCGGCTATCCCTGCCATGGTGTAAGCATATATAGATTCATCAATTCTTAGTGTTTTGGTTTGAAATATGTTTACGCATTACGAATTCTGATATTCCTCCTTCTAAATTAATTTGTCTTTTAACCTTCTTCCTGATAAGGGGTACATGTGAACTAATGCATTTCGTTTCCATTCAGTAAACAGTGCCACTCCTCCCAGCCGCCCAGGGCCGTTAAAGCGGTTCTCAGCGACACCCCCGCGTTACACCAAAACAGTTCGAGTCAGCCAGACAGTGCTAATAGGGAACACGAGTATGTGTCACTGGAGGCCAAAACTGTCAACAGTTAACCGCGTGGCTGAATATGTTAACGTTAATGACAGTGATTATACTGCCCTTAGTACTGTAGCAATCAAAGATAGTCACAGGCATCCAACACCTGCTAACTCGGTTAACTGCGACACCTCAAAGGTATACCAAAACAGTTTGAGTCCGCCAGACAGTGCTGATAGGGAGCACGAGTATATGTCACTGGAGGCCAACACTGTGTCAAAAGACAACCGCGTGGCTGAGTATGTTAATGCCAATAACAGCACTTACACTGTTCTTGGCATGCCAGCAAACGAAAGTAATCAACGACAACCAACAGCCGCTGGCATATATCAAAACGAGGTGTAACTTGTTCAATGATAAGAGACTAAACTGCTTCACATCATACTTAAGTAAAGGGATAATAACGCTTCGTTTTGGCCAAAAAATGAATTTTCCTGGAGTAAACAACAATTTTCCCATACTTACCAATGGTTAATGGATCCATTTTTACATCCAAAGTTAGTCCCTGTTTTTTTTCTAAAAAGTTTGTTTTTTTGTTAAAATCTCTTAAGAGATAGGGAACACGAGTATGTGTCACTGGAGGCCAAAACTATGTCAAAAAGTTAACCGCGTGGCTGAATATGTTAACGTTAATGACAGCGATTATACTGCCCTTAGTACTGTAGCAATCAAAGATAGTCACAGGCATCCAACACCTGCTAACTCGGTTAACTGCGACACCTCAAAGGTATACCAAAACAGTTTGAGTCCGCCAGACAGTGCTGATAAGAGATTTTAACAGAGTATAGCCATCAATGGAGGTCACGTGATCTAAAGATAAACTCAGATAGCAGAATAATAGCTATAACTGCCATTTTTGTGGTAAAACAGAATATATTATATTTCTATGAGTTATTCACAATGTTTTTATTGTGAAATATACATCTCCTTCGAAGAGTTATTATCCCTTTAACTATGAAATGAACGGCATAACACAGAGTTTCAGAGGTAGTAGGAGTAGTAATGGTAGTAGTGAATTTATCATAGAGACTTACGTTGTCATTTATACCAGGTCTATTGCACCTATAAATCACCTATCAGTACTGTATAATCAAGATGGTTATTTGCCTATATCAAAGTTTATTATCACAATAAAACACAGGTAGGAGTGATAGTGGTGTGTATTGGAGTTTGTCTTAACTCTTGAAACAGTTAGTTTCATTATTACAAATTAGAATGACAAATCAAATTAATCAAGTGGCAAGCATTTAAATTATACACATGTAAAAAACTAAAGGAGATTTTTCAAATGTATAAAATTGTCCTTTTGTGTTTTATTTTACGAAATAAAGCATCAAAATCATGTTTTGTTCTCAACAGTTTGAGATTGTTCAATTTGAAGACATCCTCATTGGCAAACAGACGGCAGTCTGTTCTCCGGTCATGAAGAATAAGTTCTACAGACACAATGACTTCACACTGAGCGTATCCGTAGATAAAACAGTTAACTTTTGGCAATCTTAATGTTACTGAAGAGCAGTCCAGCCGCCTCGCAACAAGGATCGCAAATGCAGTGCACGCATGCGCCAAAGTACCGCTTGGAGCACGTGAGGTAGATCTCGAAGGACCGATATGCAGGCGTGAGGTTCCACACGTGATCGAACGTAATCATGGCGAACTCGCAGCCCCAGCAGAGAGCGATCGGCAGGGCGCAGATGATGGTGATGAACTTGTAGCAGCAGTTTTTCCCTCCCGTGAAGCACTTGAAAGCGTTTCGCCAGACACAGTCAATACTTTGGGTTCCCTCGGGTTCGCCGAAGATGTCCTCGAATTGGGTCTAGAATGAAAAACAAAACGACATTATTCTATAGGCTAAAAACACTGCTCTTAGTGTTCATTTTTGTTCTCGTGTGAGGAAAGACTTCAGTATAACTAGATTTCTAGCGAAAATGTGGTATTTCCACCATACTACTCAATACATGTCAGTTGAGAAAAGCCCATATCTTCATAGTTGACAGACATGACTTTGCCACCCAAAAGTGATTTTGTAGTTTTACAGATTTCAGTAAATGATTTTTTCATGAAAATATCCTAAAAACATAACGACGTTCAAACCAAATGTTTAATAGGCGTTGTGATGTTGTTAAGGAGAAGTAACTAAACGTTGTTGCTATAGATTACGCTAACATGACATTTCTTTCCTCTAACTTTGTTTTACAATGATGTACTAAAAGATAAAGTGTAATCTGGCGAAATATCCTAAACGCAAATAGTTTCATTGCTCAGTTCTGCTAATAGCCTAATAATTCTCTTGTTTGTGCACGAGTAC